CAATGCGGGTTCATTTATTATCAATAAACTAATGCACATTCTTAATATCATTAACCTTTCAGTATGAAAGATATCTATTTAGGAATAATAGTTGCCAGTTTATTGAAACTTTTTTTGTATTGATTGATGTTAGACATTAACACTGTTGGACATCGACTCAGTGGTCTAACGGTTAAGCGCTCGCACGCGAGACTGATAGCTCATGAATTCGAATCGCGCGGGGGGCGGGATCGTGGATGTGCACTGCTGAGGAGTACCATACTAAGACGTAATGGTGCTTCCAGGTTTTTGATGGTGGTCTAGTTTCAATTGACTCATGATTTCAGCTATTTTTTATGTATATAATCTTAATGATTATGTAATTCAATGATTTAAGAAGTTATTAAATACTACTTGATACAAAAGTCTGTGATGATTCTGTCATAATTTTTTAAGAAATGTTTAGTGTAAATGAGGTGTTAATTAGAAGAATTCTTAATTAAACTGTATCTTTTAATGAATACTATCTATAATTAATTCATATGAAGTCGAGATTGTAAAGCAGCTTAGCCCTTATTTAACGGTAGAAACTACCTGTGGTAATTTGAAGTATTTGAATTGTAGTACTGTGGTGTGTGTTACTTATATTCACATAAGTAGTATATAATGATAATCGGGAATAGAATGTATTTCAGTATAAAATCAAGAAGGAAAGAACGACAATGGAAAGCAATTGGTATGAAAAAGCAGGAATAATGAAATCTGGGACGATGGACTGATATTTGCAAAAGGAACAGTTAAGTTTGAGAAGATCGATAGATATTTTGTAAATTAAGTATTTACTGGATGGTTTTCAGATTTTACTGAGATGCGCTGTAATTTGGTATTCAAATACATTCGATTGTCCCCGTTCGTGTTCTTGTTCAATACAGTACAAACTAGGAATCCCAGAAATAACTCAATATAACCAAGAAGTACTGGATAAGCACTAACGAACGTATTATATTTGGGTTTCGAAATCAGGCAGTCCTTAAGTACAAAGAAATCATTAGTTCATACAAACACCAGACTATCATAGTAGTTTTTGCTGTTTTCTTTAGTTATAGGTGACGACAATTAATCTGTAATAGCACCAAAAATAACTTTATTCATATTTCAACCAGAAGTTTCAGTCCCTCTACTAAAAATTATTGGTTAATAACTACTGCTCTACATTGTTGTAATCTTATTGGTAAATATCCACCCAAAAAAAACCTAATAACCTCATAATTCTAAACTGTTTAACCTTATATCTCTTCCCTTTACAACTAATATTGCTCTCTGCATCAACCCGTAAGTCAGCATGCATTCTTTAATTATTTCCAGTATATATATATAATCTATTGTTCTTATTCACTTTGTATAGCTTACTTGAATATTCCCATTGATATTTAGGACTGGAATTCATCAATCTCTTATTGGCATATGTGCATACTCTGCATATTGCCTTGTCCCAAATAGGATGAAACACTCATCCTGGATTCCACTGCTAGCCACTATCAATCTTTCCTACTATAATAATTATTAACTATTATCATAACATTTAATTATTCTGTTCTTCAAATTCACCAAATGAATAATCATCTCTCTACTAATAAGTATCTTCTTAACAATTTCTCATCAGTTTTAAGGTAATTAAATAAATATGTCTCTCTCTAGAGGTTAAGTTACCAACTTATCTTAGTCAAACCAGTGCTTCCTGAATTTCAATGATCATCTAACACCAGTCTATGATTTAATCTATGAAAATCAATTAATAGTTTCTGTTTTAATATTTTTCAAATTAACAACTCCGCCTGTAGTTTTTCTAGAGTTACTGCCGATTCCAAGCCTGGGTAAAGGAGGAGGGTTGGGCATGGGGTTAGCGACTCCATCCCGTAGAAAACTAACTCTCTAAAAAAAACGCTAACGCTCTTCTATTTGTAATCTATTTTCAATTTGATCGATTACATAATACATTGATACTTGGGAATATTTTCAATCAACTTTTAGATCATGCAATATTTCTTTATTTTATTATAGCTTTATGTATTCTAACTAACTATAAATATGATTGCACAGTTTCAATAAATGATATCGTGTTACCCAATAACTAAATTCTATTAGATAACAACAATATCTAATTATGATCGCGTGATCAGTAAAGTAATTTGGAGATTGGATCAAATTCTGAAAAAAAAAACTATATCAGTTTGAGTTATATTAATTAAAATAGATCTTTAGGTTTATTGAATTTTTGTGAACCCAATAAAATCAAGAATATTAAAAAATAAAGAAAATAAAATTATAGAAATAATTATGATCATCCATAAAAATGTTATTAAGTTGTGAAAAGATTATCGAAAAGCTTGGAACAACGGTAAAAAAAACTACGAAATTACAGGGGTATCGTAGAACATTGACAGTTTAAAACTATAAACTTTATTAGTATTCCGAATTAATAACTTATACTAATGATTAAACAATAAAGTGATATCAAAGAAAATATCGATTTATCATAATGAAACTGATCTTATGCTTTAAAGTTCAAGTAGTCATTAATTTATGGTTAGAGAATTTCAATCGATTATGTTAATTTTTTATTTTGATTAGAGTGGGGCTTATGGAGATTGTAGTAATTTTAATAGCTGGATTCATGAGTACTACCATTATTAGAAACCTGGAAGCACTCTAAGGCCGTTTCGTTATAGTATGGGTCTCCTCGGCAGTACGTATCTACGATCTCCGGCCTCGCGGACGAACGCTAACTTGTTGATCATTGATGTCTAATTCCCACCGATCCATTAATGACTACACAACCATTCATCCATTGTCTGAGGTAGATACGTGTCTCTACCCGACATGGATTCGATTCCATTAGTCACGGCTTCTCATTAGAACTCCAAGAAATCATCTTGAAGCCAGTCACTAGTAAGCACATGATGATTATGATCAGAATGAAGTTTGTGGAGATTATAGTAATTTGAATAGTTGAATTCATGAGTTGATGTAATTCTTTATTTATCTATTTAATTATTATTAATGGATTTATTCAATATTATTATTCTTATACTTAATCGATTAGTTTGGAATTATAATTCAGTGAATGCTAAGAGAGTGTAAAATCTTTAAAACTCTCTTGTATTATATATTTACTTAGTTAAGTATACAATATTCAACTTAAACAACATATAACAACTACTCATTCAAAATACTACAACATTATAATGGATACAAATCAATAAATTTAGAAGTAACATCAATGAGAGGTACAATCACATAACATTTTCAACAATCATTCCATCTTAATTAGCTTAACTGTGAATTTAAAGAACAAGATAAAACGGAACGAGAGTAACTTCTATTCTAGACTATATTTGATAACATCCAAAACCATTTGGTTGTATGATTAAAAGAATTTTACACGCAGAGTTTAAATACAAAAATAAAAGATTGGAAGTATACAAATTATGCCAAAGCATTGGATTGGAGAATATTCAACTGTATCTATATTACTATAATGAACTCGGATATATTTGAATAACTAATAAGACAGTACATAACAACTAATCCAGTTAGGCGGAAATAGTATTTTAGGATCATAATGAAATCAAACAAATTAAAGGCGATTTGACCGATAAAACAAATTGACCAGTACGTAATAACATGCAAGACACGTAGAATGAAGATATACTTAGAGTATATTCCAACCACCTTATTCAATGAAAGACTATAAACTCATCAACAGATTTACCATTACTATCTTTTACTTTATGATACACTTCAACATTACCGACCGCGTGTTTCTTCGTAAACAAGGAATGCTATGATAATATCTTGGAACTGTTATTTATAAGCAAAGATGGATGGTGGCTAGCAGTGGAATCCAGGATGCGCGTTTAGTCTTATTTAGAATTTGTCAGCTGGATGTACCCGCACACCAGAGTTGATGTTCATTCGCAGACTCGGACCCAGTACCGTTCGCTTCAAACGCCGCCGTGTTATCCACTTAGCTACTTTTAGAAGTTATTTTATACAGATGTATAGTAGCATAAAACGGACTATTGCTTAGTACACAGGTGGGAATCATACCTTGTCAGAAAATGGTGAATTAATTCAAAAGAGAGCATTTTGTAAGCTTGTTGAAGGTTTCTTTGATCACCAGTCTACTCTCATTAATTGGGTAAGTAAAGTGATTAACGAGCTCAGCTACTCAAGCCTCTCTTATCACGGTAGGAGTCATTACAGATCAATTCTTATGTAACATTTTGGGTCGAGAAAAAAATGCATCTATAATATTCTTGGGTTATGATAATTCAAGGTGTTCAGGAAACTTGGTATTTCTTTAGTCTTCTCCAAAAAACCTACAAACATTAAGTACTCTAAGGTGATGTAAACGTCCCAGGGTAGGAGGTGAATACCTTAAAAACATACCCCTGAAACATTTATCTTCAGGAATATATTCATAACGCTGAATAAAAATGAGTATGGCAAACAACCATGATGGATACTGCTTATAACATCCAATTCAAGCATTTCGCTGTAAGCTCAGATTCAATAATTAGTTTTCAAATAAACTATCAGTAAATTGTATATCTTTTCGACACATATTCTAGTGATATGCACTGGGACACCGACTTCGAATGGTATCTTCATCTGGTAGAAAGCAGCTAATTGAACTAAATTTAGTTTATGTTCCAGGACCTTACGATGAGAACATTTATGACCTAAGATAAATCCCGAAACACTATTGAATTATTCAAGTTTAATACTTTTAGGACTAGAGACGTTAAGGGTTTTCAAATAATAGCATTCAAAGTTTTTCTTTTCAAGAAGATTTTCTTTCTCTCTTGTAGACTGGAATAATAACAATCAGTCATACGAAATGATATGGAACTTACAAACTTTGACTCAACAATCAATCAATCAATCCAACATATAATGTCAGATTATCATTCTTGAATAATTTTGATAATTGATCTATTAGGTCTAGTTACAGTCCCCCTTTTCTGTAGATGCGTTACAATCTTTTTTTTGAGTTTAAGAGAAAATTTACAAGTTAGATGCTAATTTCTTATTTAGATTGTTACTATGCAGTTGAAAATTGAAGATTAAGTTGTAGTAGTAGTAGTCGTAGTAACAGTGTACACATATTTTAATAATTTATTTCTAGTTATTTAATGATAATGTAGTGAAAGTTTTAAAATTGAATATCTGCCTATGTATTACTCATGTTTTATTATTTAAAAGAATTTACACTAGAATAATAAAGGATAAGAAGATGAATATATAAAAACAATTACTGCGACTTCACTAAATACTATGATATACTCTATTAAATTTATATATAGAGAATGAAGAGAATAATATCAATTTAGAGATTAGTTGTGAAAAGTGTAAAGAGAGACACAGAGAGAAAGAGAGAGATAAGTAATTGATGAATTTTCTATTTCAAAAAAAAGGCATTTCATCGATTTGAATAAGAAGAAAAATTTATGTACTTTGCTGACCTCGGATCTGACTGCAGTTAGATCGAACAAATGATCATTATTGAATGATTGCTGCCGAAATATACATCCTAACCTAGTCTCGCATGTAATTGTCGACTTAAATAACGGAATTAAATAAGTTGAATACACGGATGGATTGTTAAATACATATATGTTATACACTCACTGATCTGGACAAGAAATGAGAAGGATGAAGCGAATAGAAGAGAGCGAAGCGAAACAAAAGGACACGTAGTGGAAAAGCCGTATATGCCAACTCCCTTTTAACCAAACGTTAATCGATATTTATAGTCTAACAAAAATAAGTTACAGACATGGAATAAATAGGATAAGATGTGTACACACACATATGTGCTCATATAAAAACAGACAGGGTTGATAAGTAAATAATTAACAAGATTAAAATGTGACTCAAGAAGAATAAATAAACTAGTTTGTCCAGAAGCTAGAATAAGTTATTTGAGCTTAACATAGTAACCGATACTACAGGACAATCAACAAAATAGTTGCTGTCGCGGTTAACCAACATAATAAATGAACAAAACTACAGTGAAATGTTCATATGTATCAGTGAACATTTTCACTTTAAATATGTGAATTATTATTATTAATAATAATTTGGTTTGATATTAACCAAGAAAAAGTAAACACATTAGGTTGTGTTAATTGGTTTCATATCGTGAATATGAAAATAAACATAAACACAAGATACTAAACAAGATAAAGAAAATATACAGAATAAAACTGATACACTCGTCAATATTATAAATGGTTCAAATATAAATGTAACGAAAAAGGCAACAATCCAACCAACTGTTAAAGATGATTTGATAGCATAATTTCGATTGATAGTTGGAAATAATTCTAATGTTATTAATAATGGTAATGGACCCCAACTACATGCAAAAGTCATAGCAAATACAATTAAATAAACTTGAAGCATTGAAGACATTGGAGTTTCAGTCTGCTATAAATGAATTTTAAAAAAAAAGAAAGGAAAATGAAACCATTGAATAAAATTTAAGTTTATTTCATTGGAAAGGCATATGGTACACTTGAAGAAAGGAGGATCATCACGAAAATATAAGGAAGTGAAAAATTCCAACTAAAGTAAAAATGAATTCACTTGGTATTGTTTTGCTTGTATCTTCCCATTGAGGTTTTAATACTACAATTGATCAATCTCTTATTGACATATGGGCATACTGTGTGTATGCCTCGATATTGCCTTAATTCACAAGCTTTTTTGAGCAAAGATGGATAGTGGCTAGCAGTGGAATCCAGGACTTTAGAATTGAACGATTCTTCAGTTATCATATAATGTTATTTAAGTTTATGTTTAGAAGAAATACAGTGATTTCACAAATTATCAACTTATACCGATGATTGGTACGATTGTCTTGGATTAATGTTTAGCTCATAGAAGTTATTATTGGAGTTTATCTTCTGAAAGTTGGATATATAACTTACTTAGATGTTTTAAGGAGATTCAGATAGTTTAAAAAAAGTTGTCATGAAAAATCGACACCGATTGGAGATTTGAATAAAACTTAGGATAATTAGATAAGTGTTTCGATGCAGTTAAAGGATAAGCTCCTCTGAAGTTCATACCTAAAGCTCTACACGATTTAAAACCTAGAAACTTCAAACCTCACGATGAGGATAATACATCTTTAGATAGTGTGATGATCAAAATTTTCCGATTCAAAAAGATTAGTGTTATAAATAGATACGCATTCCCAACTTAATTGATTAAACAGATCATATTACTTAAACTCAGTCATTCAGATACAAACAACGAATTTTACAATCTTATAGCATCAAAAATAAGGGAACGTTAGACTAAATCATTATTTTCTGAATGAAAGTTATCTATTACGAACGATATTCTTTGTACATTTTTATATTCATAAAATTTGATTACTGTGGTTAAAAGAAGGAACCTTCAGTAAATAATTGAGAATAGTAAAATATAGAAAACAATGTAAATTATGCTTCCTCAAAACCTTTCGGTTACTTAATTTCAGTATAGGGTTGTGAAGATTGTTGAGTTTTGCTTGAGATCATGAATCGGTCAATGTTGGACCACTATTGAAAACCTAGGAGCACTGGAAGGCCATTTTGTCCTGGTGTGGGACTCCACAGTAGTGCGCATACACAACCACGAACGTGGGATTCCGACCCAGGGCCTTCGGTCTCGCGCGCAAACGCTTAACCTCTAGACCACTGAGTCGGCATTCAGAGGTGTTAATGTTTATCTTCAACTAATCCATGATACTGCGCGATCATCTTCCATTGTCGTCGGTAAATAACTGCCTCACACCCGACACTGATTTCAGTTGAAACTTGCATCCACGTTTATTTGACTGAAGAAAATGACATTTTATTAAGGATTGTACTCTCTTGTTGTTAATTGATTTATTCCAAGGGAGGATCAAAAGGGGATGTTAGATGTGAAGTGCACGAAAACGCAGGTGAGGACAAAAATTACACAGTGCTTTGGAGAATTTGAAAATCATACATTGAATACATTATCTGCACATCTTTCCTCAATTTTTCTTCTACATATTTCATGATTCTTCCAATTCGATCATTATTCCTTTTGCTCTCTGTTTCCATTCCTGTTCATTTCAATCCAATCTTTTGCTGGCAAGCATTTCACTTCCAGTTACTCCTACATACTGCTTACATTCGTCAACGTAAGTAGCATATACCACAGATGTATTAAATAATTTCTAGCATGTCTGATGAAGAATCGTATGTTCACATAAACATAAATCAAGGATAAGTACGACTCAAGAATTTTCATATGTTCTGCTTAACATCTCGGAAGTGTATGACTAAAGAAGAAAATCAAGTAGACCAATATTTTTTTCTCCTTTTATGCTTAACATTATTATCTTGGCACATTAGTACTGCATGTAATGTATCAGTAGGTATAATGAATAATGAGAAGACTTCATTTGTATTGGTTATTTGAATCTTCTCATTGATTTTTAGGAGTACGATTGATTAGTCGTTTGGGGATTGCTTCAATGTTGCCATTAAGCCACAAGTATTCGAAGCGAAAATGGATGATGGCTGCTAGTGGAATCCAGAAATTGTTTCGTCCCACTTTTGACTCGTCAGCTGGATGTACTTGCACAAGCTGGTGGCCATCTGAAATCAGTAGCCAAGTGGATAACGCGACAATGTTTAAAGCAAACAGTACTGAATTCGAGTCCTGAATAGAACGAAACGTACATCCTGGATTCTGATGCTAGCCATCATCTATCTTTGTCTATAATAGGAAAACTTGTTTACGCAATAATATCTTGGATATCAGAAAAAAATGGAAGGACCAAATTCTAACGATAATTAACTAGATTCACTTTGTTAATTAACGACTTGATTAAGTTGACAGTACCACTGTCGCTCTATGACAAGGATTTCTTGAAGATCATAAATAATGCATAAGAAAGAACGACATTATATTCTATAAACTGGTCACTCACTGATACCGTAAATGAAAACCATAGATGGGATAAAGCCAGAATTACAGCACCAACTAGTAGTAGCTTTTTCCAGGAGAATTTTCTAACCACAAACACTGATACAATACTAGAAATAAATAGACACAATCCCATGTTGAATCCACATTGATATGATACTAGTCCACCAAAAAGGCAAACCGATTCAGCAAAGTAGATTATGACATTCATTCCTGTTAATTGTTGAAATGTTATTAGTATAAAAATCGTACGAAGCTTAGACTTTGAATCATTCAATACATGAGAAGAACCAGTGTATGACTTTGTGCTCAGATCTGATATATCATGAGAAACATCTCCATTGACCATCAAGTTATTCCCATTTTGTTTAAAAGGTATCTCCTAAATTGAAATAAAAAAATAGTTGACAATAACGTCAGTTTCTTTTCTTATTTTTGACATTAACAATGAATTTTCGTGATATTTCAAACATTGACCAAACCATTTTAAATGTGTATAACTAAAATGACAATCAGATTAACTGCTAAACTATGTTTATAAATATAATTTAGATTATATATATATATATATATATATATATATATATATATAGGTTAACTTTAAAAGATTTTTAGAAATATACCTTTGTAACTAAATTCATAGATTCAATTACATATGATCCTCTTTAGCTTTATTTCCTTTTACGCCAGCGTTTGCGCAAATAACTTTTATGACAGATGAAGTTGAAATTACACAAAATAGTAGATCCTAAAAGGGAACTAACACCTTTACACAGAGGGAAAATAAGAAAACATTTCAATAAACAGTTTCAGACTTTGTCATTGGCTGACTGTACTCATTGCCACCTATTCCATTTTGAACAGCTGGGTGAGCATTACTGGCCCCCTTACACTTATAGCGCAGCTCATACCCAGATAACCGGAAATAATTTAATAAAGCAAACTTTTTTTGGACTATACGCTTTGAATTGCATAGGTATAGAGACAAGGAATATTGTAACAGTTAGGTTATCTTCCATAGATAACATTACATTATCTCTATCTCAACACGATATGCTCGAACAAAACTAGTTACTCAACAATGAAGTTATTATTTGATCAATAATTTCATGGTTATAATTGCATCTCAAAAATATTTGTCCATTGTGGTTTGCGTAATAGACGTCATAGAACCAAGTATATAATTGCACAAAACTGTAATACTGTCAATTATGAGATGTATACAATCAAACTTTATTCATTACACTGTATTTACAATATTTTTTAGAGCATAATTTATTTATTTTAAACAAATTTGTAGACCTAACAATCACTTACATTTCCATGCAACCAATAATGAGATGCTTCAGCTGATTGTAAATTACCCATTTTAAAGCACCATTCCGAGGATTCGGGTAACATGTGAGTTAAAACGGCAACAAATGAAATAACCAAAGCAAAAATCAAAGAAATAATATCCCAGTTTAAAAAAATTGCCAGTGCATAATCAGCAACAATTCCGCATGTTATACCAACTTGAAACAATGACCCCATCAATACTTTCCATGACGATGGAATTATCTCATAGACATATATTAGATTAGTAGTTAAAGTTAATCCACATCCTAAACCAGTTAACAGACGTCCTAATACAAATTGAACAGTTGGTGAATATCGTTCGTAGACAGCTGACGTTGAAAAATACAGTATCACCCATCCCACAACAGATAGAATATAAGAAAGAAATAATGTGCGACGATGTCCATAATGACGAATAAGCCACGTTGACCACAAAGATCCAATTATTCCACCTGCATTTAATAAACCAGCAAAAACTGCTACCCAAATAGGGTCGAAATAAATTTGAAGTGTAGTTGCTGATGTAAATCCAAATGTTAATCCTACATAAATAAAATTGATACAATCAAAACAGTTATAACACTATATATGGAAATAATCTATTTTCATGTTATATTAATTAGTGTTAAATCATTTGGATATTGAACATGCTAAAACGTTTTTTAGGATTATAAGCAGTTGGTGATTGAATTACAAGCTAAAACTCGTATATAATAACAAATCATTAAATAATGGGATTATTGAAGACATATTTCAAAGAAACGGTCACATATTCTATAAATGTTTGAACATACTCTGTTAGCTGAGTACCCAGAATAAATGTATAACATTTGAGGTGTTTTAAAAATATTCTGGTTGGAAAGTCGGTCACTTACTGATAAACAAAATAGAAGCCGTTACACATATCTATCTGTCCAAATCACCACATCACGTTAAAACAGAAATATTAAATTATCAAGATGAATAAACAAGCGATAGAAGCAGTAGTTTTAGTGATTAAAAAAATTAGGCACTGACAATTTGGTTGGAGAAAAATCGATGAAGTCACGGAATAAAAGATACAAAATAGTTTGAAACATCAGATTTAAAGGAAAGCAAAGAGTAACTGAATTTATACTATCGCGACCGATTCTGAATCATGTTAAACAGTCTTCAAGCACTGGCCGTGATACGCATGAGAACTGTAACCAGACAAGCATGGCTCACATTATTTGTCAATAACTTCATGGGTAAATACCACATTTTGGTTTGTGAGCCTCTAGGTTCCTTGTGAAACTATTAATAAATCAGAATACATCATGTATCGACGTAGGGAGTGTTTGAACACATTTAACAAGTATCAGCCTCTTCAGTTGATATAGATTCTTCATCGGAATAATGAAATTTTCACTAACGAAAGCAAGTGAATAAATATAGGAAAATATATAAGTTTTAGGATAGAACTAGATGTTTTCTAGTGTTTACAAAATTGCTGGATGATTTTATGTACTAATTCTGTCAAAAGCACAATTCCCCATATATAACCAAATGTGATCAAGGAACATAGACAACTTACTGTTTTGAAGGATTAGATGGTGAGACTGTAATTTATCGACGACCTTTCAGCGACGCCGAAGTGATCTTGAAAGTATCTACCTACTTAATAGAGCTAAATGAAGGCTATAAAAGTTTAAGGAACGAAGATAATGATTTACAGTTGATGGTGAGGGTTAAGATTTAGATTTATGATTTTCATCACGAACTGACATCATCTAAAATGCCAACACGCTATTTAGACGAATGGTTGAGCGAATTTCGCGCCAAAACCTAGGACTTGTTATCTTAAATCTGATTGGTTTGTCCATAAATTATAGTCTCACCGAATAAGTATTCAATACTAGTAATATTTTATTTGTAATTGCCACAGAAAAATGTGTTTTAATGATTGTTGCTGCTTATCTCCGCTAAGTTTAAAACTAGTTAATCTGTGGTTAAAAATAACTGTAGAACAGAGACTTACTTACCAGAAGTAAATGCACTCGAAATGCAAACAAACAATACAAAATAGAGTCGACTAGTGACCATTGAGAAGCAGAGCTAATCGTTAACACAAAAAAGTTCGAGTGAATCTAGAAAAGAGAAAAGTGGTGTATTTACTCAGTTAATGTATAGAAATACTTAATTAAGATGTTTGGTGATTGATACCCTACGGAATTTCTTAACTACACATGACTCTTAACACTTCGTTAAACAATCAAACGAAAAATGAAAGGTTACGAAGCCTATATCACTAACTTGTTTGTCATAACCAGTACATCTAATACTAGGTTTAAGAAAATAGTGGTCCAAGTAGATAGCTCGCTTAAGCAAATGACGGAAAGCAGATTAATTGTAAGAAGTCGTTTTCATCTTACCAGAGGATAGCCTGGTTTAAGAACTTTAAAGCTAATTCGTTCGATTGATTCAAAAACTTTATTAGTACATATAACAGGACTCGGGAAAAGTAATCACAAACATATTGTGTTATGTTTACCATGTAGTATGTGATATAGATTAATTATAAGATCAATCTAGAAAATTATGAGTGTTATATAGAAGTCTCGATATTTGAACTGAATATTCTAGTCGGGGATGTAGTTGTTTACTGAAAATACTGGATATGTACCTTTTCCTTGTACAAAATACTTGGAAGATTTTAAAAGAACTAAATTTCCATTTTAATAGAACTAGAATCAATTCACTAAACGAAAAAGTATTTTAATAGTTGAATTCAATTAAAGCTAGAGGACCATGGAAAACCTGTCAGCACCAGATGGCTGTTTCGCCCTAATATGGGGCTCCTCATCAGTGCGCGTCCACGATCCCGCTGGCGGGATTCGAGTCCAGGACCCATTGGAGGAGTACCATACTAGGACGAAACAGCCGTCCGGTGCTTCCAGGTTTTCTATGGTCCTCTAGCTTTAATAGAATCACGAATTCAACTGTTAAATTACTAAAATCTCTACAAAACCCCCTTCTGAAAAAGCATTTGCTAGCTTTTCTAAGGTTTCCATCACATAAGTTCAAGTAAACAGCATAAAGGCTATTCAAACCGATTCAAGATATTTTACGTTTAAAATTATCGCTGCACCTGTACCATGTAAACCTCAAAAACTAGATTCAACTACATAAACAGCCGAATGGAGAATCACTACAACTGCAAATAAAATCTGAATGAAAAACTAAACTTTAGTCAATACTATGAACCTGAAGTTTTGATCAATGAGGCCTGTATCCTGGTTTAGAATGATAAAAACTATATACATATAGACCTAAGCGCATGCGATGCTCAAGTCGTACGTGAGAGATCATACAGCTGGTAACAAACAAATTTCAGGAAAGATATACGACAAAATATATCAATTATCATAATTCACACAAACTGATGGTGTATCTACAACTTGTGTTTGTAAACCACTTCAAATTATGCATATTGTAGTGCTTTTTATATTCAACTAAAACGTGATCTCGGTCTTTATCTACACGCTTTCCGCAATAAACCGATACGTTTGGCCGGAACGATAAAATTAAACTTCGTCAAAACCTTTTTCAAAGTTTTAGCTTTTAATCTGCTAGATTATAATATGATGAACTCCAGAGGTATCTCTGGGGTCGTCAGGCACCTTGAGTGGACGATGTAGTCCTCATAATTAAACCTCTTAAGAGAAATAACTGTATAGGTCAGCCCTAGTATTACCCTTCAAAATAAGTAACTTTGCCTTATCGCAAAGATACGATTCTACACCTAACATAATGAAAACCCAGGCAGTTAGTATGGAAATCAGGTTAAATGAATAAGTTACTGATAGCAAAGTGATTAAGAGTCTATGACCAGGAAAGCTACTTGGTGCAAGCGAGAAACAAAATGAAGGCTGGTTTGGAATTGCCAAATCCTGGTAATGAGAAACTCCATCAGTTGACAGGGAGTAAGCCATTAAAGTAAGCCTCCCGACGAGATCCTTTGTTCACTTAGCTTCCAACAGACTGCAACTTCTCAGTTAAAGATACCGATACAACTAATCAATCAATAATCTTAAATCAAATGTCGTTTTTATATTACCGTGTTGTTAATATTACACTGCTTCTGCCTCCTTTAAACTTTGTCGTCGATGGCTTTCAATAATCTCCACAGAAGAAATTGGTTTTCCTTTCAAGGTCTTTTTCGAAGTAGGGAAAGAAACGTTAATCCAAAAATAGTATGGTAATATTTCAACGGGAACACAGAATCAGTAACTTGACAGGAATACCGGACTGTACAACAGTTCGGAACACAAAACGTAATATGAAATAACACCAGGATGCAAATTATTTTTCCTCCCTCACTTTGGGATCTGAAACAAATTAAACAGAACGTAGCCGTAAATCATCTTTTTCTTAAAAGTAACTTAGGTGCAAACTTTGTTAACCATATATCATATGTAGTCATACGCCGGTTTCAGGCGATTGTAGTGAATGATCATAGGTACCAAGAATAATCTCTGGTGTCCTTGATTTAACACGTAGATTTTGTTAAGACAAGTTACTTCATAAGGACCTGTTCATTCTCTATGTAGTTTAGTAAGTGTCCCTGCCGGTGAGTCATCTGGTTTTAACCATACTTTTATCCTGGTTGTATGATTATTCTAAAAGTCTTTTCCTTGTAGTACTTTTTTGATGCTTTTGAGTCACACCGAACTGTACGCAAGCCATATCATGATACCTTGATACAGCCTCTCGAAGCTTCACGACAGTGTCTGACTCGAATAAAGGTTCTTGACGCGTTACTGGTGTCAACAACTCAGCTAAAGGCCTTATATCCGTTTATATCCATAGAAAATTAGGTGTGTGTCCAGTAGACAGTTTGAGCATCTATACTACTTAGGGGAATCGCCTCATACTAATTCGTAAATAGATCAACCATAATCGGATTATGATTATTTTCCCTGTTGGTATCTCGTAATCTCGCAGTAATACCGACTACCATTATCTCGTCGAGGTAACCTGGTTTCACAACTACTAAGGGTGTGCGCGGGTTGTCTTTTGAGCCCTTAGTCATTTGATAAATCATTCAAGCTCTGACACAATTCCGTATGATTTCCCTGTTTTGGCCACCAATATCTATGTTTGACTTCCTCCGTCATTTTATTTGGCCTCCGTGTACCAAGTTTTCGTGAACTATGCCCAAGACACAGCAGACTATATACTGCGGAATTACTAGTTGTCTCGAATAGTGTGGTTCCTAACAAAATTATAATACTCTTTATCTATTATTATTATGAGGAATTTCCACAAGGGCCATAGATACCTACCTTACAGACTAAAGCCTCCAACTTTTTTCTGAAGATGGCCCAGAATTACTATTTTCTAAAGCGTTATACGCCATTGAAATTTCCAGATGTTTCCAGTACATGAAAATATCCAATGAAAGCAGCTGACTTTTCTCCTTCACTTTGCCTAGAATAATGAAGCTCTCTTTTAACAAAACAAAGTATCTTAAAGGTCTGAATACTGAACTTATTTCAGTACACTGAACATTAATGTTTTTGATGGTAGAATCCCAATACTGAAAGTTTTAGCTCTTTTAACCATTCTCTAAAAAGGAGCTACCTATGTGGTAGACACCCTAGGATCCATAGGAGAATTCATCTAGCACTGTCGACATTCTAAGTCCTATAAACGAAAAAGATTTGTCTGAAAGCTATTTTCTAGGTGGGTTGGATTTGAGGTTCGGCTGACTGTTTATCTCAGCACTGATATTATACGTAGTTTTTGTTCTATGGTACAAACTTTAGGTTGAGTTTCAGCTTAATACCTAACGCTCGACGCCACTGACGTTGATCTAGGCACAGTGATATATAAATTCTTCTTTGACAGGCTCCCCAAAAATAAGGATGAACAACTCGACCAGATTTATAGAATCTCCGTTGGGGTAACCCCTCTGAGATATTTATAGCTTCTCAGCTCAATTGCCTTCTGACAAGCTGCAACTGCTCAATGATAGATATTAGTCCAGTAAATCAATCAACCAACAAATCTAAATCAAAGGTCGTCCCTACCTTAAAACGTTGCTATTGATACAACCTTCAGTTCCATAATAAGCGGTGCTTACGTACAAAAAAAACTTTTTTCAAAAATCCGATGCTCAATATGTTTTTCAAGTACTCGTTTAAGAAATAAAGAACTTTAAGACGATATTTCAGCAGTGCAGTCGTGATCGTGTGATGATGAACCAACAAGCAAGTCGACAAAACCATTAGAAAATAAGGATAAACTGAACTTCTAAGGGAAAAATGGTGAATCAACAATCTTTACCTATTTGAAAACGTTCGTATCTCAGCACTGATATAAAAAACTAACCATGAGACAGTCTCCATTGATGGAGTCACTAACAAGGCACTTAAGAAGAACGAGGATGCTCCCCACCCTAGCTTCAACCTAATAAACAACACGGCAAAAAGAAAGCGTCTCAGTTTGCCACATGGACACTAGAATGGTAGGGGTCAACGATGAACGACTGTCGCGAGATAGTAAGGGATATCACTCAAAGATTTATCCCGTACGGAGTACCTCGAGCTAGAGACGCGCCTTGAAAATGAAATCCAGGGTTAAGCGAGGGATATAACTCATACCACACGACGGAAAAGGAGCCTAATATAAGCATAAAAACTCTGAAGGGTCCTGACCTCAGCCCTAACTTCGCTATGAGTAATAGACTGAATGCCAAAGTTGAAAACGATAGGGAATATTTCGAGGCAAATCCAGCAGCCAAAATACAAGGTTACTCAAAATATCCGTAAATTTATGATCAGAGGGACATCAACAAACCAAAGGGCCTGTGTTCCTAAGAAGCCTGACTGTAAAGACGATACCAACCTAGAAATGGCATAAGTCTTTACTATATGCTTCCATGATCAGGCAAATCAGAAACACACAAGCTCAAAATACTCTTCGACTTTTATACGAGCCGGCAGAGTAGTAAAGATCCATGTGATTCTTAGTTTGGAATCAAGGAGACTAAATTCTTTGAGCCTAGAGAAGTGACGGGGGTATCGCAACATCAACCCTGGAAAGGTGCGTAAAGGCTCCACTTTGATGTGCTGACTTGCTAGGGCTGCTTCAAGGAGCGTGGAGATACTGTTCTGGCAATATGCTCATAATGATGTGATTTAGCGTACAAAATAAATCATGTAATCTTTTCAGGTCATCATGGAAATCCATACCCGAATATCTATATAGAGTGGAATCTCAAGCTTATAACCACAGATAGGCTAGACACCAGCTGAAACTACAGGGTGGCTGCAGTAACGTATTTAGTGTAGTCAATTATGCATAGCCTCTTCACACTCCAACGTCTGCGTTGTGGATGTTTTTGACTGTATCCGAAGGACGAATTGTCGAATTTAATGTAAAATAACCTAAAGCGGTAAGGCAACAGTAGTTATCAATTGTATTCAGAGCCAGTGGTGACTTAGAACACAGACTAAAGCGTAAATTATTCAAGAATATGATTTCTCAGGCCTCTGTTTACGATGGATGTTGGTGAACACGTGCGAAAACGTCCTAGAGGAGAGCTTTCAGTCAAACATCACATCCAAACCCACAAAGATAAGAATGGAAATGAAGTTGATCGTTAAGGGAAGGAGAGTTTACAGTTGTTGGTATGGGTAATAGAACTTAAGACTTATATATTTTCCACAGGGAAGACCTAGTCATTTTGAGAAGCATGGCCATTTAAAGCTGGACGGTTTAGGATCAAAATATTCCTTAGTACTTTGTTGTATTCATAAGCGTACTTCTAGCAGATTTTACGTTGTTTTGCATAAGTAGTATGTTTGGGTACACAATTCACCCGAGTACAATTTTTCAGAATCCTTGATATCACTATTATCAGATTCTGGATAATGATGAAGCTCGTCAAGTTTGAACCTGAGTTCATTATCTTCATTTCTACCACATATTGCACCAACACTTCTATCTAACGAATGTCCGATACTGTAGTCCAATATAGACCAAGTAATTTCACATGTGCAGATAGTCGACGAATTTCGAATGCATAGCATCTGCTTTCTGTTAGATTTCAATAGACAACAGCGACTGGGTCAAGAAAAGCATTACAGACCCACTTTTATACTCGCTCAGAAATAGAGTGCACGCGGTTTGTAATGTCTCAACATCAGGGACGTCACATAAACCCCACAATAATTGAGCAATGGACAGCAGACAATAGATTAAAACACAGCAGACTAAATAACGGGTTATGAATGAATACTGCCGTATTCGACACAAAACACATAAAACAATTGTGGAAATCCACTCCTAAATATTTCTATAGAGTGGAATCTCAGATTTATAACCACAGATAGGCTAGACATCAGCTCAAACTACATGAATGATGCAGTCAAGAAAAACGAAACTCTCCACTTTACACATCGACAACTTGACGCAACCACACCATAGTTAATCCCAACACAGTGTGAACCGTACACTCGCTCCTACCTCTAAGTTCACAATATTGCTGAGCCTCTTTTAACCTTTGTGCTCAGTTGTACTCGAATTTCCGTGATCCTTCATATTGCAATAAACCAACCTCCTGCTCTCCAAGTCATGACTGTTGATTGTAGAAGTTCCACTACCCCAGAACAAGTGTGTTTATTTATATCTAACATAAAATGACTTAAAACTAACCATCACATACACTAGGATCTGTGTTGGAATGTGAATAGGCTATGCATAATTGACTACACTAAATACGTTACTGCAGCCACCCTGTAGTTTCAGCTGGTGTCTAGCCTATCTGTGGTTATAAGCTTGAGATTCCACTCTATATAGATATTCGGGTATGGATTTCCATGATGACCTGAAAAGATTACATGATTTATTTTGTACGCTAAATCACATCATTATGAGCATATTGCCAGAACAGTATCTCCACGCTCCTTGAAGCAGCCCTAGCAAGTCAGCACATCAAAGTGGAGCCTTTACGCACCTTTCCAGGGTTGATGTTGCGATACCCCCGTCACTTCTCTAGGCTCAAAGAATTTAGTCTCCTTGATTCCAAACTAAGAATCACATGGATCTTTACTACTCTGCCGGCTCGTATAAAAGTCGAAGAGTATTTTGAGCTTGTGTGTTTCTGATTTGCCTGATCATGGAAGCATATAGTAAAGACTTATGCCATTTCTAGGTTGGTATCGTCTTTACAGTCAGGCTTCTTAGGAACACAGGCCCTTTGGTTTGTTGATGTCCCTCTGATCATAAATTTACGGATATTTTGAGTAACCTTGTATTTTGGCTGCTGGATTTGCCTCGAAATATTCCCTATCGTTTTCAACTTTGGCATTCAGTCTATTACTCATAGCGAAGTTAGGGCTGAGGTCAGGACCCTTCAGAGTTTTTATGCTTATATTAGGCTCCTTTTCCGTCGTGTGGTATGAGTTATATCCCTCGCTTAACCCTGGATTTCATTTTCAAGGCGCGTCTCTAGCTCGAGGTACTCCGTACGGGATAAATCTTTGAGTGATATCCCTTACTATCTCGCGACAGTCGTTCATCGTTGACCCCTACCATTCTAGTGTCCATGTGGCAAACTGAGACGCTTTCTTTTTGCCGTGTTGTTTATTAGGTTGAAGCTAGGGTGGGGAGCATCCTCGTTCTTCTTAAGTGCCTTGTTAGTGACTCCATCAATGGAGACTGTCTCATGGTTAGTTTTTTATATCAGTGCTGAGATACGAACGTTTTCAAATAGGTAAAGATTGTTGATTCACCATTTTTCCCTTAGAAGTTCAGTTTATCCTTATTTTCTAATGGTTTTGTCGACTTGCTTGTTGGTTCATCATCACACGATCACGACTGCACTGCTGAAATATCGTCTCAATGTTCTTTCATTCTTAAAGGGACTTGAAAGGCATTCGCTTTCTTCATTGCTGCTTGCTCTTTTTGGAATGCTTTCGTTCAATTGGTCGTCACTGCTCCGTCAGTGATAGATTTTAATTCAGACTGTAAATTCCTTCAACCTACGGTCTTAGTGTTTATTTGGTTTTGTGACCATATAGACATATCGTCAGCTACTTTTTAAATCTTTTGTAATTTATGTGACGTTTCATATTATATGCTTTTTATTTTTGTTGTCATTTGTTGACTACAAATTCCAATCCTATTCATTGAACGTTTCATTAACTAATCCATTGTAGGTGCTGTATCATGGTTAGATCTAAATGTTTTTCATAAATAAAACGCTCAAAATTTATAGGACCTATCTTCTGTGATATCCCACATAACTATGGACGCATGAAATAACAGTATTTCGTGAGATGTTTATATTCTGTATAAAGTGTAAAAATGTTAACTAAGTAATTTATTAACAATAGCATTGTGATGCATTATGCTAAGTGACTCACCGGAAAATAAAAAAAATACTTCATCAACAAAATATACTGTTACAAACAACGTGAGAAACTATCTTAGCATGGTGGCAGTTAAGTTCTTCATTTAGCTACAGTTTTGTTATGGTTCATTTGATACTGTGTTTTCAGAAACAGGTCTTCCGCTGTCATCACCCTGAGAAAAATTCAAATCGGACATAGAAGGAGAATCGTTACAGGTTGAGGGTGGGTTGAATACATTAGTTACCAATTCGTTTACAGGATCATTTTCAGTCAGTTTATGAAAATAGTTACCCATGTGATTAGCTATAGAGACGCACATAGAAGAATCAGACGAGATTAATTCTGATGGATGATGTGAACTGGATAAGATGACATTAGGTCTTGTATCGTGAAATTCTGACGGGAACCTGTGAACAAAAATAAAAATAAGAACCATTTTTGAACTCCGAGATCAGTTTAAATTTTTTACTCTTCGGTTTATGTAAATGAGTTCATTAAACAATATGTACAGATATAATGTACAAAACACAGACATCTTATCAATTGTGTAACCTTCCGTACATCTATGATATGTAGATATGCCTTATATGATTATCGACTCTTTTTCAATGCCGGTAATCCAAGTGTATTTTGTGATTATTTAAATATAGTTCACAATATTATTTGCTTGCCAGAAATTAAACCTATTAAAAAACATTAATATACAAATTGATTCGAAACAAGA